AGTAAAAAAAAAAAAAATCACACAACACAATTTGCTATATTTTTTCTTCTTTGTACTTGACCTGTGTCTTAGTTAAGGTTACTTATTGCTGTGATAAAACACCATGACCAAAGCAACTTGGGGAGGAAAGGGCTGATTTGGCTTCCACATCCTTACTCTGTTCATTGTCGAACAGGGCAGGAACCTGGAGGCAGGAGCTGTTGCAGAGGCCGAGGTGGGCGCAGCTCTCTTCCTCTGGCTTATTCAGCCTGCTTTCTTTTTTTTTTTTTCTTTTTTTTTTTTTTTTGGTTTTTCGAGACAGGGTTTCTCTGTGGTTTTGGAGCCTGTCCTGGAACTAGCTCGTGTAGACCAGGCTGGTCTCGAACTCACAGAGATCCACCTGCCTCTGCCTCCCAAGTGCTGGGATTAAAGGCGTGTGCCACCACCGCCCGGCTCAGCCTGCTTTCTTACAGAACCCAGAGATGACGGATATCTGGGGCTCACCACAACTCTCAGGTCCCAATGAGAGATTCTGAATAAATAGCAAAACAAAACAAAAAAAACAAAGCGGATGGCCCCTGAGGAATGCTACCTGGGGTTGACCACCACCACCGCACACGCACCAGGCATGATGGTGCACACTTGTGATTCTTGTGACCCCGGTGCTAGGGAGGGAGAGACAGGTGATCCCTGGGGCGGGCTGGCTGGGCAGCCCAGATGAATCAATAAGGTCCAGGTGAAAGTAAGTGAGAGACTGTCAGTGGAGCAGTGGACCACATGCATCGAGTAAACACTACACAGTCCATGCTCTCCCCACCCCAAGGCTCAGAACCAGAACAGAAAGGGAGGCAGAAAGCATGGAAACTCGAGCAAAACGGTGTCTTCTGGACCCAACAGGATCTGTACACCACTGTGCGTGAAGTCACAGCAGCTGTGGCTGCCTGCGCATGACCTGCAGCAGATCAAACCAGACAACATTCTAGCACTGTGCAGGAAGAGGTCCATGGAGCTCCACCCCTGAGGCGCTGTGGACAGCTGACAGCCTCGGGAGAGGAAGAGTCGGTTCTCTGTAAGGGTGTGGCCCCAGGTGTGCTGACCACCCTGCAAGGAATGGCCCGCAGTCACGCCACCTGCATGAGCAGCACGAACTGGATTCAGGGGCTTGTTTTGAAAAAGAGGACATGGAATCAGAATGGAGTCTGGAGGGAAGGTGAGGGCCCAGGTGGAAAAGGAGTGGGGAGGTGAATATAATTAATGCATTGCATGAAATTCCCAAAGAATTAATTACAATATTATATTTTAAAAAAACAAAAACGTAGTTCTGAAGCAAGAAAACGAAAGTGAGAGCTCCTGCTTCAAAGAACAGGGTAGATAGTGTCCCGTGGAACCTTCTAGAACATTTCCCAGTCTCTGAAGACCACCGCTTAGTTTCTACTTCCAGGAGGTGAACTTTACATTGTTTTAATATTGAGTTTTATTTGTTTTGAGGCGGGGTCTCTTTACATAGCCCTGGCTGTCTGACACGTCACTATGAGACCAGGCCTCAAACTCAGAGACTCTCCTGGCTCTGCTGGATTTAAAGGCATATGTCAGCAAGCCTGGTTTAATTTTAAACTTTTTTATGTCAAGGCTCTGTGTGTATAGGTATGTAGGTGTATGGGTAGGTGTAAGTATGTGTCTGTGCGTGTATATAAGTGTGTGTATATAGGTGTATGGGTAGGTGTGTGTTGTGTATATAAGTGTGTATATATAGGTGTATGGGTAGGTGTATGCACGTGTCTGTGTGTGTGTGTATAGGTGTATGGGTAGGTGTGTGTTGTGTATGTAAGTGTGTATATATAGGTGTATGGGTAGGTGTGTGTTGTGTATGTAAGTATATATAGGTGTATGGGTAGGTGTGTGTTGTGTATGTAAGTATATATAGGTGTATGGGTAGGTGTATGTTGTGTATGTAAGTATATATAGGTGTATGGGTAAGTGTGTGCACGTGTCTGTGTGTGTGTGTGTGTGTATGTGTGCGCGTGTGTATAGGTGTGAGTCGTGACACTCATGTGGAAGTCAGAAGACTGTTTACAGGAGTAGGCTCTCTCCTTCCACCATGTGGGCCTTGGGGGTCAAGCTCAGATCGTCTGGCTCAGTGGTAAGCACTATTACCTTCTGAGCCATCTCGCTGGCCCGAGATCAACTTTTCAGATTCAACATGTAAGGAAGATCGTGGAGTGTTTGGCTTTCTGTGCCTGGTTCATTTCCTTTAACAACCTCTTCCTGTCCTATTCCTGCTGATACAAATGACAAGATTCCCACCTTCTTGTGGCTGTACAATAGTCTGATGTATATATGAATATGTAACACTGTTCCTTCACTGATGGATACCAACATTGATGACATCTTGACTCCTTGTTGGGGGCAGTGATTGTACTAGGAATGCACGTGCAGGTGTCTCTTTGATTTGCTGAGTCATGTCCTTTGGGTGCATGCCCAGCAGTGGGGTAGCTAGCCCGTGTGGTCGTTCTATTTGTAGTTTCTGAGGAACCTCCTTAGTGTTTTCTAGAATGGTTGCACTAATTGACATTCCCATCAGGAGTTCCCTGTCTTCCTCACCTCCCTGCATTCGGTATTATTTTTTTGTCTTTTAGATAATGGCCGGATAATGCGATAAGATGGCATGACTGTGCAAATCGATTTGCATTTCTCTGATGATTAGTGATATTGAATCTCTTTTTCCACAGAGCTGCATGTACTCTTTTGAGGAAGGTCTATTCAGATTGCCTATTCAGTAACTGAATTATTTTTTCTGTTTCAAGTTCCTTATATATTCTAGATACTAAGACCTTGTTGGATAAATAATTTGTAAATAGCTCATTCTGTAAGTCATCTGTAAATCCTCTCAGTCTGCAAGTTCTCTTCCCTCAGCTGACTGCCTCCTTTGTTGCTAAAGTACGTTTTATTCTAAGTGTATGATCTTAATTGATCCATTGAAAGATAATCTGAGGACTAAAATGTACCCTTAGAACTTCTTAACTCTGAGGGTGGTAATAAAGTGTCTCCATGTGTTTAAAACCCCAACAAGTAGAACAGCAGCAAGATTAGCTTAGTCCCATACTACACTACTTCTTAGTTGTGCGATGGATTTAATGAATATCGAGATGTCCCTTTGCCCATCATTGCTAAGTTAGATACTTTTCTTGTTGTGATAAAAATACCTGACAAAAGTGACCTAAAGAAAGAGAGAGTTTATTTTGTCTCATGGTTTGAAGGGATACAGTCTATTCAGCAGAAGGCAGAATAGCAGAAGGGGCCAGCTGCTCACACTGTCTCCACAGCCAGGAAGGAGAGAGGGATGGACATCTGTGCTCAGTGAGTCCTCTATGTTTAATATAACCCAGCCTACGGAATGTGTTCCCTAGAATTAAGGTGAGTCCTCTATGTTTAATATAACCCAGCCTACGGAATGTGTTCCCTAGAATTAAGGTGAGTCCTCTCACTTCAATTACCCTAACCTAGGAAATCACAGACATGCCCAGAATCTTGTCTCCTTGTGACTCTAGATCCTGACAATTGACAATTAATATCAATTATGACAATTACTCTTTTTTTGTATATCAAAAGTCCCTTCAATCTAGAAAGTAAATAAAGATCACTCGGGATCACTGCCCACAGACGTGATCCTTTGGATTGGAGCTTTTAAAACACTTCCAGGGCTAACTTGTGCCCAAAGTGACACATCCAGATGGCTTTCCAAATGGAGTCTCCCAAATCTCTAAAAATTCTATAGAGCAAGGAAGAAAAAAATGCTTTGGTATTTTGAAATTCAGAATGTCATTGGTCTAAATATAACAGAAACGGCACCCTTTGAGTATCAGTGAAGAATCCTAAGTAATAGTTAGCAAATATGATCCTCATTAAAATAATAAGAAGCCAACGCCTCAAAATAATTCATCCTAACAATACTAATCATTATCAGAATATTTATTAGTGAAACTCGCATTACAGATTAAAAGAAAATGTATGTAGTCACCTTCGGATCCATGCTTAAAAGACATAAAAATCGCTAGTGTCTGATTAAAAAATAGTAAAAGGAACATGGATGGATACTTCCTTAAGATTATATGGAAACCCAAGAACCATTAAAATGGAAATAGAAAAAGCAAAAAGAACAAAAACAATCACAGTAGTAAACAGAAAAGTGAATAACAGAGTGACTGAAAACACAGTCTCTGAAGCTGGCATCTCAGGCTCCTACTTTCAGTTCCACCCCTGGCTGTGTGGCCTTAACTTAATCTCCTGATGCCTGAAGAGCCGCAGCCTTCGCGTCTATGCACAGGGATCTTCTAAAGACTAAATGAGCCAATCTCAGGGGCTTTGTTTAGAATGTACTTGGCACATAAGTGCCATATGCAATGTATAAATAGATACACACACATCAAAAAGCTGAGATCATGGCCAGTGACGTGGCTCAGTGGGTAAAAGGCGCTTCTATTTCCAAGCCTGACAGCATTAGTTGGATCCCTGGGATGCACATGACAGAAGGAGAAACCTGATTACATCAAGTTGTCTTCTGATCTCTATGCACACACATTGTACACATACACACACATACACACGCACATGTACTTGTACACAAGCAAACATACATATGCACATATAAATAAATAAAGGTAGCTTTACATTTAAAAAAAAATGTCATGGTGTCATGTTGAAACACCAAAATCATTTCCATACAAGTCAGAATAAGATTAAAACATTCAATGTTAATCCCACTATTTAGGTTTTCATTCTGGAAACATTAGTCAAGACCGCGTAATAAAAACTAGAATTTTATAAATGCAGATGAACAAAAGGTAGGGCCGTTGTTTTCAGACAAGATACAGACCCTGGAAATACTAGAGACCCAAGTAAAGCCTGCCGGAAACAAATATGACATGTTGGATTTATCTAACACGGTTATTATCCCAAAAGGAAACTGAAAAGAAGCAACCTCAGGACACTCTATGCAGGAGGCTAAGGTTTTGAAAACTCACCTTGGCAATGTAACGTCGGAGATTCCCACGTGCCCAGGGCCGTGCAGCGTGAAACTCCATCTCCCGAGATGCTGAGAAACCCCTCTTTGCAGCTGTAACGGACCTGACCGCCCAGCGTGGAGCTGTAATTCCCTGTGATGTAGCCACCAGGGACTTCAGGAGGGGGGCCACAGTTTATTTCTAAAACACAAAAACATGTCGCCTTCTTTACAAATGCACGTTTTCAGAATCCTCCACCTCTCCACCCACACCCCGTGCCTCATACCCCCAGGCCCTATTTTAAGAGCACTGGTCCGTTTCCCTAAGGCTCTGAGCATATTTCCAGCGGTTATCCTTACTGCTCTTCCGGCCCCCCGTAATACAACAGCATCTACACAAAGCAAAAGGAATTACCTATCAGCTACGACTCATGTTCACTAATGAGATGCCTTGGCCAACGAAGTAAAAATCTGAGGCAAACTCCCTTAAATTTGGTGCACTTTCTTAATTGTCAAGGTCACCTTTGAGATGCTGGGTTCTTACCAGACCTAATAGGCAAGAGTTAATACCAAAATATTCATGAATTGCTTAAGTTTATAAACCCTTGAAGTTGACTGTTCAGTTTTTTCCCATTAACATGACTCTATCTTGATTAGGTCATTTGTTTCATTTCATAAAAAATATGTGAAGATGATATCTACTCGTGTCTCCAATGCAGATCCATAAACATTGGAACACGAGAAAATGATACCCACCAGGTCTCACCTCCCGATGCTGCCTCTCTGGCAGATGCCTACCTGTGCATGCTGTGCCGTCTATGCTTGGGTGGAAAGGCTCGGGACCGCCCTTTGCCACGTATCCTTCCATGCAGTAGCATTCAAAGCTCCCAGGAGTGTTGATACACTGACCTCCATGACGGCACAGGCCAGGAACTTCACACTCATTTACGTCTGGAGACCCATCCCAAAATAGAAAAAGAGGGGAGAAAAACAGAAAAGACTGAAGAACATTGTGGCGGTCACGTTTTCACATTGTCTAGCAACACCAATAATGCATGCGCTTGTTTGCCATCGTATTCTAATTTTATTTTGTTCCTTAAAGGTTTTTTGTGTAAATTCTTCATACCAAAGACACTGAAAGCATAGGAAATGTTAAATTATTAGATTATAAATACTTCCCAGTGTGTTGAGAATTTAAAAAAAAAAAGAGCTAGGCAGTGGTGGTACACACCTTTAATCCCAGCACTTGGGAGGCAGAGGCAGGCGGATCTCTGTGAATTTGAGGCTAGCCTGGTCTACAAAGTGAGTTCCAGGCTAGCCAAGGGTACATAATGAGATACTGTCTCAAAAATTAAAGAAAAAAATTAAAGGTTTACAAGAGGTGGCTCACTTATAGTTTCAGAGGTTCATTCAGTCCATTATCAACATGGCAGGGAGCATGGTGGCATGCAGGCAGACAAGGTGCTGGCTACATCTTGATCAGAAAGCAACAGGAAGTGGACTGTCTCATTGGGCATAGCTTGAGCATATATGAGCCCTCAAAGCCCACCTCTACAATGACACACTTCCTCCAACAAGGCCACACATCCCATTAGTGCCATTTCTTTGGGGGCTATTTTCTTTCAAGCCACCACACACAGTCTATAAGAAGCCTGGCTTCCTTTTTCTTTTCCTTGGAATTTTGTGGTTATGCTGTAAGGAAGTCTAAGCTGTTGTGCTTAGGAGAAGCCTCAAGGAAGATCCCTGAAGAGGATCTTCATGGAATGGAGAAGCCATGTGGAGAACCAAAGCAAGCAAGCCAGTTGTCAGTTTGGAGTTCTAAGATACAAAAGGCCTCCTTTAGTGTGTCATCTAAGCCACGAGTTCAGTGTAATCATTCAGTCCATAGCAGATATAAAAAGAATCATATCACCAAACCAGAAATTGTGGGAAATACCCAATTGTTCAGTGTGTGCGCGCGTGTGCGCGCACACGTGCTTGCACGTGCATCTATACATGTTCATTTGTGTGAGGGGAGGCATACATATGCCATGGCATGCAGGTGAACCAGAGAACAACTTCATATACCCATCCTTGCCTTCCGCCTCATTACGGGCAGGGTCCTCCTGCTGTCCAGTGCTGTATACGCCACACTAGCTAGCTCAGAAGCCCACAGGGATCCTTCTGTCTCCACCTCCCATCTCACCATGAGAAAACTACATTACCGCTACCATGTGTTACCACATTTGGCTTCACATGGGTGTTGTAGTAATAAGAAGCGGCGGGCTGCGTCCCCGAGACCCGGCCGCCCCCACGGCTAGCTTTACCCGAAATAATTACACGGAAACTGTATTCTTTTAAACACCGCTTGGCCCATTTCTATCTAGCCTTTTCTAGGCTAGCTCTCGCACCTGGACTAGCCCATTTCTAATAATCTGCTGTAGCCCACGAGCTGGCTTAACAGGAATGATCTTAACCTGCATCTGTCTGGAGTGGAAGAACCATGGCGACTCCCTGACTCAGCTTCTTTCTCCCAGCATTCTGTTCTGTTTACTCCACCCGCCTAAGGGTGGGCCTATCAAATGGGCCTAGCAGTTTCTTTATTGCTTAATTAATGAAATCAACAGATTGATATATGACACTCCCACATCACATGGGCCTGGGGATCTGAACCCCAGCCTCCACCTTACCCAGGGAACCTTGTCCTCCGCCCATAAATTGCTCTTTAAAGCCACTAAACCTAAGGGGATCTTTGGGTGGCGGCAGTAAACAATTGAAATTCCCCGAACGCATGAAGAGCTCAAATAAGTGCCATTAAGAAAATAATACATCAATTTTCAAGGGGGAATTTCTAGGAATATAATGAAATCTTACAAATTGAAAACAAACTGTGAATGCCAAAAATAAAAACTCAAAAGGGCATCAAACAATAGAGAGGCCACCGTTGGAAATCAGGTTTGCGAATCCAACTCGAGGAATCCTCCAGAGACACAGTGGGAAAAGTCGGTGTGAGACAGAAGTCGTGAGATAAAAAACAAAACCTTACAGTGAAAAAGAATCGACAACTGAAGAGAAACTGAAGAAGGTAACGGGGTGGGTCTTCAAGAGCTCATCTAGTGAGGGAGAGAGCACCCCAGCTTACACATCCTGATCCAAACAGTTTGAAGGTGACAAGTGTGAATGCTGCACACAGAAGCTATTCTCCTGGGGCCAACGCAGCCGACTGACTGAAAGAGGAGACTTAACCCTGGCCATCAGGAGGAGTGCCGGCCACACCCTTCCTGCTGGCTCTCTCTGAAGCTCTGTACCTGGTACCTGGTCTCCTGGGCCCAGTCTCAAGCTCTCCATGTCTCAGTACAGGGCACCTACTACAACCCTGACCCATCATCTCCAGGAAGAAAGACAAGCCTGTAGCTGATAAGGAAGGCAGTCTTTGATACAAGTGCCAGAACTACTTCAGAAGGGATAGTAAAGGGAGGAGGACCATGACCACGTTCAAAAGCAGTCTCCACAAGAGGCAAACTACAAAGACAAAGGAGGGCTTCTAGTTGTCTTAGTCCATGAGAAGTGGGGAGACAACGGGCTTTGGTGGGAAGATGGAAGATCTTCAAAATCAGCGGTGATACCATGGAACTCTATGAATATAATAACCACCATTGTACTGCACAGTTTAAGTGGGCAGGCACGTTTTAGGAATGAAGCAACTAGAGAGAAAAAGAGCAAACCAGGTATGGGGGGGGTCATACTTGTAATCCTAACACTTGGTGGGGGTTGGAGGCTAGACCAGCCTGGCCTACTTAGTAAGTTTCAGGCCAGCATTGACTACAAATTCATTTTCAGCCCAGGGAACAAAGAGAAGGAGGGTGTGAGGGAGGAAGTGAAGGAGGGAGGGACAGACAGGAATATACCCTCAGGATGGGTCATCAAAAACAAACACAAATAGTGGTGTGTGGAAGGGTGTTATTTAATGGTAGCTGTTGAAAGAAAAGGAAAACAAAACACGAAAGCCATTCTGAAATCCATAAATAAGAGAATAAGACCCCTCCTGAGAAAAGGAATGGGAACCCAGGAGGAGTCACTCGACCTGACCTAGGACTTCCTGTCTGGAACACAGGGCTTCCCAGCAACTGAGTAACATTTCGAGTTCTTAGAAAGGGAACAAAGCATCACGCTCTGGCTAAGCAGCGAAAAGACAGTTCAGAATCCAGAGGATTTCAGGGGCTGCACCGCTGACATTTCTGTCCTAAAAAAGAAGAGCCGAGAAAACACGCAAGGCAGTGAATCAGAGGGAAGTGGTTGAGAGCCTCGCTCAGAGGCAGGGCAAGCCCTTAGCAGGCAGGAGGCCTGGGTTCATTTCCCAACACTGCGAAAATATAGAGGGAAATTAAAGATACCACAAAGAACGAGGAGGTCTAAAACTAGTCAAACAATATAATCACAGAACAAGGGGCTGTTGTTATGAAAAGAGTTTTAAACTATTAATAATATAAAAAACAACATCAATGTAAATCAATTTATTTCTTTTTAAAAAAGATTTATCTATTTTTACTTTATGAGTTTGTTTGCCAGCATGTGTGTCTGTGCACCCTGAATGTGCCTGGTGCCCAAGGAAGCCAGAGAGGGCATCAGATGCCCTGGAACTGGAATTACAGATATGGGTCTGAGCTGCCACATGGGTGCTGGGAATCACTCAGATCCTTCGCAAGAGCAACAAGCGCTCTTAACTGCTAAGCCGTCTTTCCTGCCCAAAGGACCAAGTTTAAGATGATTTTGTCCCTGCAGACATCAGCCCTGTTGTTAGCTTTGACGCGTTCTAGCTTGGCACGAGTTCCTTGCCAGTTAGGAATCTGTCCTTCTGTGGCTTCTTCTCACCTGTCAATTTAATGAGAAATGTCTGACACTTTACCCAAGCCACTGACAAAGCAACTCAACAGACCACAATGGTAGCGACAGTCAGCCCACCTTCTCTAATGGACATCTTGAAAAATACCAAGTAAGAATAAATGCAGTGCTTTTCATTGGACCTTCAAACATGGGCAAGTGGCGGAGGTATGGGATGACGCGGGACTCCTGGATGCTGACCAACGCTGTAGGACTCACCACAGCCATTATTAGTGAGCTTTGTGTACAGTCACTCAGCAACCTAATAGCCATAATTGTCATAATTATTGCTAATAACGACAACCGCCACATGCCACTTTCCACACGTCAAGTACTGTCCTAAACACTTCATTGTTTATTAAATACTATATTCTTATTTAATTTCCACAACAGCCCATTTTTGAGGAAACTAAAGCAAGACAAAGTGGTTAAGCCATTGGTCCCAGCAGCAATGGAAACTCCAGGATTTGAAGCCATGTACCTACCTGGAAGTCCATATTCAAAACCCATTATCATCCAATTGTGCATCATGAAATCAATAGTTCTCTACCTAATGGAATCGAAGATGCAATTAATTGCCTTAGTTAAGTTCAGGTGTGCCTACCACATACAACCGCAATACTGTGACATAATTTTGACCTTTTTTGTGTTGAGACAAGGTTTCTCTGGGACTCATGCTGTAGATCAGACTGACCTCAAACTCAGAGATCATCAACTCCTGAGTGCTGGGATTAAAGGCATGCACTGTCACCAACTGGCAATTTGACTTTTTTAGGATTTATTTTTATTTATGTGCATGTCTGTCTGTGCATTTCAAGTAGAGTGCAGGTGCCCTTGAAGGCCAGAGGAAGATGTTGGATCCCCTGGAGCTAGAGTTAGGGGCACTGGTGAGCTATTCAGTGTGAGTGTTGGGACCTGAATCCAGGTGTTCTAGAAGAGCAAAAGTGCTCTTAACTACTGACCCTTCTCTCTAGTCCCATGGTGTAGCACAAATTCTAGTTTGGCTTAACAATAAAAACTCGGAGTCATAGATTATGAGGTAAAATCTGAGAGATCAGAGAAGCAGAGCAGCCAGACACTAGAGTTCTCAC